CCGCTGTGAGCCAATCATCAGCTGGCAGCTGGAAGTTTGCTGGGGCCCCTTCGGCTGTGGCTCTCAACACTCCTTAATACCTTCCAAAAAAATTTGAAATCTAATTCCAGTATGAAGAATAACACAAAAATTATATCTATAACTTATTGGCAATAGTTTATTTTATCCAACTCTAAAACATCAAATACATGAATAAATACCAACAAAACTTGTTATTTCCATACAAACCCAAGACTTTTGCTACACATAACTTTTAGTTTGGAGAACACCAACTTGGCAAAGTGTTCTCCAAAGGTTTACATTTAACTGAGCTTAACTTTTAAAGTGCGATTTAGAATCCAGAGTGTATGGTAACAATAATCACAGGTGTGAATTGGTTAAGAAAAATCAAAGGATAGCCTTAAATCTCTTACACATTTAATATTAGATATGGAAAATGACAAACCCCCAAATAGTGTGGCCTGGGAAGAGGGAGTAAAGAGGAAAGCAGCACATTGATGGCATTGATCCTTTCCTAGTGATAGAACAATCCCTAGAAAGGAAGCCAAAGCATGAAAACAAGTTTTTGTTTCTCTGGTATAAGTGCCTCAGTGTGCAGGTTATGTGTAATTGCTTGAGTAGTTTATAAGAAACTGCCAAATGGTTTCCTACAGTAACTACATAGTTTTACACTCCTATTAGCAATGTATGAGTTATCTAGTTTCCCTACATCCTTGCCAGCATTTGGTGGTGTTACTGTTTTTTGGTTTAATCATCTTGATAAGTGTGTAGTGGCTCGTATCTGTGGTTTTAATTAAATTAACTAAGTTGGACATTAATGGTTAATGATAGATGGTTGAACATATTCTCATGTACTTATTTGCCATCTGTCTTCTTTGTTGAAATGCATCTTTTGAGCATTTTCTAATGAATGGCTTATTTTTGTACTATTGATATTTGACAGTTCTTTACATATTCTAGATACTAGTCCTTTTCAGATATGTGTTTTGCAAATATTTTCTCCCAGTCTGTTGCATATATTTTCATCATTTTTTCATAGAACTTCATGGATAAATTGTAACTTCAAAGAAGATTTATTATTTCTTCTTTGTGTAGTTCATGTTTTTGGTATCAAATCTAAGAATTATTGCCTAGCTTTAGATCCCAAAGTTTTTCTATTTTTTTCTAAAATTTTATTATTTTACATCTTATATTTAAATCTGCGATCCACTTTGAATTAATTTTTATGTAGGTGTCAGCTTCAGAATGAAATTTATTTTTGGGTGAAGTATTTAAAAACAAATCCTAGATAATCATTACATTTCAGTATATTTCTCTAAAATATAAAGATGTTTCTTAAAACCATTCTCACTATGAGTGAAATTAATGATAACTGTTTAATATATTATAATAGCCTGTGTTCTGATTTTTCTAATTGCTCACAAAATATCTTTTTATAGCACTTAGCTGTTAAATATTTCTGTTTTATTATTGAACAACATCTTCCCCTATTCTTATGCCTTGACTTAAAGAGACTGGGCTAATTGATTTGTAGAATGTTGCACTTTCTAGATTCAGCTCATGGTTTCCTTGCCTTTGCAGAATTAATGTTTAGAAAGATAACTATAATAAGCAAATAATTATAAATTTGTTGATTAGAAGAAAAGAACTGTTTTTAAGAGAAGGACTTTTTGAGCTAAAATTTAAGTTAAGAGATAAGTGTTCCAGGTAGAAGGAATGTAACACATGAAGACATGGAGGAATAAAACACACTAGTTTGGCTGGCACTTGATGAATAAGGAAGAATATGACATGCTGTTGGAGACACATGCAGGGGTCAGATAACTAAGCGCCTTGGCAGATTGTGGAAGGGAAGTCAATAGGAACATAATCTGACTCTGTTGATGTTTTAAAATGCCCACCTTGGCTGCTTTATGGAAACTCCATGAAGGTCCAGTGGGGACTGTGTGGATTCAGATAGTCGGGAAGCGAGAGTAAAAACTGAGAAATCTTGTTAGGCTGTTGCAGTAGCCTGATAATGAAAATGGTAGTTGCTTTTACTGCATTGATGATAGAAAGTAGTAGATAGTTTCTGTAGGTAAAATGGACAGACTCTTGGACGCTTGGTAATTGTGAAAAAGGATCAGGAGGGAGAGAGAGTGATAAAGGATGGTGCTAATAGTTGAATATTGAATGTCACCCCCCTACCCATGTGTTTACTTTTGGTCTCTTTTGGGTGATGGTGGAATTTTTAGGAGGTAGAACATTGTAGGAGGTGCTTAGGTCACTGGAATTGTGCCTTTGAAGGAGATCATGGGATCCTGATCTCTTTCCTCTTCCTTTTCTCTTTTGCTTCCTGGCTCACGATGTGAGTAGTTTGCTCCCTATTTGCTTCCCACCATTACCATCTAGCACCCCCATCAGAAACCCAAAATGATGAGTCCACCTGAACTTGGACTGGAATCTCTAAAACCATGAATCTCAGAGTAAACCTTTTCTGTTCATAGGTTAATTATCTCAGATATTTTATTAAAATAACAAAAAACTGACTACTACACATAGCAACTAGGCATTTGTTTAAACAGTTGAGCAGATAGAGATTCATTTTCTGAGATGAATCAGAAAAATTAATCTGGTTTCTAGTTTGTGACAAATTTAATCATGTGGAATATAGTCTTCTGTTTTTCTGTTGTTAGTAAATTAGGTATGGATGTTGAATTTTATCAGATACCTTTGTAAGTTTTCTTATTTACATTTGTTTCTGTATTTAATATAATTGTATTACTATAGTTTTAACTTTAACATAGAATAATTTAAATAGCTTAGGAATTACTTAGAACAGAAAATTAAAAGAATTCACCATTGAGTCCTCCAAATCTCATACTTATTTTTGAAGAACAATACTTTTTTCTGAATATTATCCATATTTATTAGCGAGACTAAGGTGTCTGTATTTTTTTTTCCTAAAAAAAAATTATTTCTGGGCTGGGGATGTGGCTCAAGCAGTAGCGCACTTGCCTGGCATGCACGGGGCGCTGGGTTCAATCCTCAGCACCACATAAAAATAAAGATGTTTTTGTCCCCCAAAAAGTAAATATTAAAAGATTCTCTCTCTCTCTCTCTCAAAAAAATTATTTCTTAATTGTAGTTGGACACAATACCTTTATTTTATTTATTTTTATGTGGTGCTGAGAATCAAACCCAGGGCCTCACTCTACCACTGAGCCACAACCCCAGCCATGTCTTTTCTGGAGTCAATTTATTTTTTCCCTGTCATCCTTTTCAGATTTTCAAGTTTATTAAATTAGAGCTATAATTTTTAAATTGCTACTTTTTCACATTTGAATACATTTTAAAATAGTTTTTTTAACCTTTTATTGATTGATTGATGTATTTTTATGTGGTGCTGAGGACTAAACCCCCAGTGTCTTACCGTGTGAGGCAGCCTTACCCGTGCGAGGCAAATATTCTACCACTGAGCTACACCCCCAGTCCCTGAATACATTTCTTTTATTCTGTCCTCATGGTTAGATTAATAGAGAGATTTCTTTTGTTTAAAAAAAACTCTTGGTATTATTTATCAATTTTATTGTTTTCTCCTTAAACATTCATTTTTGCTTCTTTATTTTTCCTTTTTAGCTAAGCTTAAATATTTGAATTTCTTTTTGTACTTTTTGAATGCTTTATTACTTAATTTTTAATTTTTTTCTTATTTAATTAGAAACGTAAGATAATGAATTTTCTCCTGGGCATAATTTTGGCCATATCCCAAAGACGTTAATATTAATATATTTATTATCAGCATTTTCTAAATAATCTGCCTTGGGAGTTAAATTATTTAGGTGAGAGTTATAAAAATAACTTATGATCAATAAATTTCATTTGATTTGTTTTAATCTGGGGAATATGCTGGGATGTTTTTGAGTCATAACGTATGTTAAATTGTTATAATGTCCATGAGAAGAGTACCTATAGTATATAAAGTTAAACATTTGTCCATTTGATGAGGATGGGATATGCAGAGAGCATTGCTCATCTTAGGATGGTTAGGGAAGGTCTCTTGGATAAACTGACAGATTTAAATGAAATGAGGGAACAATAAAAGCAAATGCCTTGATAAATTGTCTATGTTTTACTTAACTGAAAGATTTAATCTCAGTCTGTCTTTCTATTTAATCTGTTGTGTACTTATACTTCAAAAATGCTGATTCAGAGAACACCTCTTTGCATTGTTATATAAAGCATTTTTAACGTCATCACATTTGGCTTTACGTACCATAAACTGATTAGTTTATAAACTAAGAAGTTTATTTCTCATAATTCCAGAGACTGAGATGTCTAATATCAAGGCCAGTTTGGTGTCCAATGAGGACCTCTTTCCTACATCACAGATGGTCCCTACTTGCTTTGTCCTCACACGGTAGAAGAAGCAAATGAGCTTCCTTGGATCTTTTTATAAGGCACTAATCCAATTTGTGAGCACTCTACTCTTATGAACTAATTATCTCCCGGAGGCCCGAATGCCTAATATTATCACTTTGGGGATCAGGATTTCAACATGTGTATTTGGAGTGGAGCTACAACAACCTCCAATTTCTATCCCTCCAAATTGTGAGATACATGAGAGAGCTTTTGCAGAATTTTGTATACTTCAGGTTTTGTTTTTTTTTACTACTTTCATTATCAGTTCTGGTACTGCCATTCTATAAGGAATTTACATGGATTACCGTCTTCTTTTAGTTAAAATTGTACTGTAATTAGATGGTACTTTTTCAATTGCGTTGTGTATGATTAGGGTGTTCATGTAGTTTCTCAGTGGTGGTGTTTTCTTTGCAATTTCTACCATCTATCTTCTTTGCTTTGAGTTTAGGGAATGGGCCTCCCATAAGCTAGTATCTATGCAACTATTTTCCTAGAAGTCTGCTTTTCTCATTTTATTGAATACTTAAAGAAAAGTCATTTATTAGAATAACTTGTCAGTCTTAAGTTTCAAATTAACTGTTTTTTTAATGACTCAACAGGTTGGAATTAGAGGCACCAATATAGTTGTGCTTGGAGTAGAAAAAAAATCTGTTGCTAAACTTCAAGATGAAAGAACTGTGAGGAAAATTTGTGCTCTTGATGATCACGTCTGCATGGCTTTTGCAGGTACTTATGGACCAACAATAATGATGCATAGTATTCTAGTGCAGTGGGGCAACACAGTTGACCCTACTACTGCAATTTGCTGTATATATGCAGTGTATATAGTTATACTTTATATCTTATTGAAAACAAACAATATAACATTTGTAAAAGAAAATTATGACTTTATAAACTGAGATTTATGATAATGCTTTGATAATAAAGCATAAATGTTAGAAGAAGTATTTTAACTCCTTAGAACTTTAGGGAGCAGTTCTCCTTTTAAGCTGTGTTTGTGTGTGTGTTGTGTGTATATGTGTATGTGTGCGCACACGCGCTTTGTTTTGTTTTTGTAGTGCTAGGGATTAAACTCGGGACTTTATGCATGGTAGGTAAGCACTCTAACATTAAACTATATACCTAGCTACTATAAACTTTTTTTGGGGGTGGGGCGGATACTGGAGATTGGACCCAGAGGTGCTCAATCCTTGAGTCACATCTCTGGCCTTATTCATTTTTAAAAAATTTTTATTTTATTTTTTTTAGTTGTTGATAAATCTTTATTGTGTTTCTTTATATATGGTGCTGAGAGTCAAACCCAGTGTCACACATGCCAGGCAAGTGCGCTACCACTGAGCCCAGCCTCAGCCCCCCTTTTTATTATTTTAGTTTGAGACAGGGTCTCTCTAAGTTGCTTGTGGCTGGCTCTGAACTTGTGATCCTCGTGCCTCAGTCTCCCAAGCCACTAGGATTACAGGTGTGTGCCACTGCACCTTCTAACTATCAACTTTTTATTTTGAAATACTTATAGATTCCCAAAAAGTTTCCAAAAATCTCAGGAAAGTTCACTTTAACTTTACCCAGTCTCTCTCAATGGTCATACTTTCAAAACCCATAAATTCTTATTTGTATATTTAAAGAGTTTTTACAGATTTCACCAGTTTTATATGCATTCATTTGCATGTGTATGTGCATATTTGTAGTTATACTTACCACAAGTATAGGTTCATGTAGTTACCACCACTGTTAAGATACACAAACTCTTCTATCACAAAACACGACCTATGGTATTCCTTCTCCCCATCTTTGACCTCTGGAAGCCACTAATCTATTTTTTTTAAATTCAATTTATTTTTTTTAGTTGTTGATAGTCCTGATTTTATTTATTTATGTGTGGTGCTGAGAATGGAACCCAGTGCCTTACACATGCTAGGCAAGTGTGCTACCACTGAGCCATAGCCCCAGCCCCCACAAGTCTACTTTCTATTTTCAAATTTTGTCATTTTCAGAATGTCATATGAATAAAATCATATGATGTATATAGCTTTTTCAGTGGTCTTTTTTCATTCAGCATAATTTTCTTACAATTCATCCAAGCAAGTTATTGCATATATCAATTATACTTTCCTCTTTTATTTCTGAGTAGTATCCCATGGTATGAATGTATTGCAGTTTGTTAACAGCTTAGCCACTGAAGGACATTTGGAGTAGTTCCAGGTTTTGCCTATTACAAATAAAGTATTTTGAACATTTGTGTATAGTTTTTGTGTGAGTATCATTGCTAGATTGTATGATAATGCATGCTTATTCTTATAAAACACTTCCAAATTTTATTTCAAAGTAACTATACTCTTATATTCCCACTAGCATTGTATGAATGGTTCATTTTTTCTACATCCTCAACAGCATTTGGTGTTGTTAATTTTTTTTTAAAGAGAGAGTGAGAGAGAGAGAGAGAAATTTTTTTTAATATTTATTTTTTAGTTTTCGGCGGATACAACATCTTTGTTTGTATGTGGTGCTGAGGATCAAACCCGTGCTGCACGCATGCCAGGCGAGCGCGCTACCACTGGAGCCACATCCCCAGCCCATTAATTGTTTTTTAATTTTAATTTTTTTAAATTTTTTTTTTATTGGTACTGGGGATTGAACCCAGGAGTGCTTAACCCTGAGCCATATCCCCTTTTCTTTTTATATTTTATTTAGAGACAGGGTCTTGCTGAGTTGCTTAGGGCCTTGCTAAGTTGTTGAGGCTGGCTTTGAACTCGAAATCCTCCTGCATCAGCCTCCTGAGCCACTGGGATTTACAGGTGTGCACCACCATGCCCAGCCCAGTTTTTTTTTTTTTAATTTTAGAAATTCCTATAAGCATGTAGTAAAATTTAATTGTGGTTTTAATTTGTATTTCCCTCGTGGTTAATGATGTTGAACATATTTTTCATGTGCTTATTTCCCTTTGTACAGTGGATAAGACATTATCTTTTTTGTTTTTGCTCATTTTCTAAGTGTGTATTTTAAAAATATTTTTTAGTTGTAGGTGGACACAATACCTTTATTTTATTTTTATGTGGTGCCAGGAATCGAACCCAGTGCCTCAGCAAGCTTGGTAAGCTCTCTACCACTGAGCCACAACCTGGGCCCCTTTAAGTGTATTTTAAGCTGGAATTTTATATTGAAGTTTAAAAATCTTATTCAGCAAAATGTAGCTCTTATCCTATTTCCTTTTGGAATCAAGTCAATAAATATAAAAGATAAAAATCATACGAAGTATCTTTTCTGATCAAAATGGAATGAAACTAGAAATAAGTAGCAGAAGAATAAAACCTAAAACTTTACAAATAAATGGAAAGTAAGCAGAAAACTCCTAAATTGTCCATGGAGTGGGAGAAAAAAAAAAGCCCAAGGGAAATTAGCAGGTATCTTGAGAGAAATAAATAACTGAACACACAGCAGCCTTACTTAGGAAATAGAGTTAAAGCAGTGTTACAAAGGAAATATAGATGCAAACACTTATATTGAAAAACAGAGACCTAACTCAACAACCTATATGTTAAAAACAAGATGAGACAAACTAATTCCAAAGCTAGAAAAGGAGATAATAATAGAGATCAGCACAGAGTGAAATAAGAGAATAGAAAAATAATAGAATATTAATAACACCAAAAATTGGTTCTTTGAAAAGGTGAACAAAATTGACAACTCAACTACATTGACTAAAAAAAGAGATTATTCAATCAAAATAAGAAAAAAAGGGGAATTTTACTGCCAATTTTAGAGAAGTAGAGGATTTTAAGAGAGTACTATTGTATATCAACAAAATTTCTTCAAACACACAGATCCCTTTAAGTACTCAATATGAAACTTAAAATCTCAATAGGCATAACAAAGAAATTGAATCAGTTACCAAAGATTCCCAACAAAGAATAGTCCAGGATCTAATGACTTCACTGGTAAATTCTACCAAACATTTTAAAGAGGAATTAATAAATCATTTTCAAACTTGTCCAAAAAATTAAAGAGAACACCTCTAAATTAATTTTATGAGACTAATATTATCAAGATGCCAAAAGCAAAGATACTACAAGAAGATAAAATTATAGAAACAATATTGCTGATGAACAGTGATATGAAAATATCAATAAAATACTAGCAAACTGAATTCAACATATTAAAAGGATCATACCTCATGACCAAGTGGAATTTATTTTTGGAGTGTAAGGATGGTTTGGCATAAGAAAACTAATCAATAAAATACATCACGTTAACAGGAAAAGAATATTCAAGGAAAAAATACATGATCTTATCATTTGGTACAGAAAAATGCATTTGACAAAATTCAAAATTATACTCCTCAAAAGACACTCAATAGGGGCTGGGGCTGTAGCTCAGTGGCAGATTACTTGCCTTGCACATGGGAGGCACTGGGTTCGATCCTCAGCACCACATAAAAAAATACACATATTAATAACGTGTAATAATAAAGGCATGCTGTCCATCTACAACTACAAAAAAGTTTTAAAAAACACTCAATAACTACAGAATAAAAGGAAATTACTTCAACATAATTAAGATCACATATGAACAACCCACATATCTTATTGGTAAAACACTGAAAAGCTTTTCTTCCAGAATCAAGAATAAGACAAGGGTGCCTCTTCTCCTCTCCTATTCAATATAGTAATGAATGTCCTATTCAGAGTAGTTGGGCATGAAAAAGAAAGGAAAGGCATCCAAATTATAAAAGATTACAGACATTGTGATCTTATATGTAGAAACTCTATCAATTCCACACAAAAATATTGTTATAAATAGTGAATTGAACAAAGTTGCAGGGCACAAAATCAAAACTCAAAAAATCAGGTGCATGCTCTCGTAGAGTATTAATCCTAGCATGCTCAAGGCCATGGGTTCAATTCCCAGTACAGCAAAGAAAAAAAAAGAAGAAATTTGAATAGTAACTTTTAAAAATTTTGTCATGCCAGGCACAGAGGTGCATGCCTTTAATCCTACTTACTTAGGAAGCTGAGGCAGAAAGATCACAAGTTCAACTTGTAACAACTTAGGGAGACTGTCTTGAATAAAGAACTAGTAAGCACCCTTTACTAGTTCTTTATTTAAAATATTTTGAGACAGACAGAACTGTCTCAAAATTCTGACAGGGGATAGTACTAAGAGGCAGAATATTCCTAGTTTCAATCTGTAGTCACACACATACACAGAATTCATTTACAGTAACATCAAAAAGAATAAGATACTATTTAGAATAAATTAAACTGAGGAGGTAAAAGACTTCTATGCTGAAAAATATGAAATGTTGCTGAAAGAAATTAAAGAAGATACAAAGAAGTAAATGCCCCTCATTTATGAATTGGAAGACTTAATTTATTATGAACATGCCAGTACTATCCAAGGCAGTATACAGATTCAGTGGCATTCCTATCAAAATCCCAATGATATTTTTAATAAAATCTATTTGAAATTGACGAAATCTCAAATGGCCCTGAATTGCCCAATCTTAGAAAAGAACAGAGCTGGAGGTCTCATATTTCTTGATTTAAAAACTCAATACAGGGCTGGGATTGTGGCTCAGCGATAGAATGCTCGCCTAGCACATGCAAGGCCCTGGGTTCGATCCTCAGCACCACATAAAAATAAATAAAGATATTGTGTCCAACTACGACTAAAAAAATAAATAAATACTTTTTTAAAAAGACCTCAATACAAATGGGCATGCTGGAGCACACCTGTAATCGCAGCAGTTTGGAGGCTGAAGCTGGAAGATCACAAGTTCAAAGACAGCCTCATCAACTTAGTGAGACCCTGTCTCAGAATAAAAAGTAACGTGGGCTAGAGATGTTGCTCACTGGTTAAGCACCCCTGGGTTCAATCCCTGGTACCAAAACACACACACACACACACACACACACACACTCACTCACTCTCTCTCTCTCTCTCTCTGAAGTCCTTATTCCCACTGAGTTCAAAGCCAGACTTCTTTATCTACTATACCTGTACTATGGACAGAGTACTTGAATGCCCCTTTCCTCACTTTACTCATCCATTTGAGTACTTCATTGATTTGTTACAAGAATTAAGGGAGTAATACATATGATTCATTGAAATAGTGTCTGGGTACACAGTGGTAATTCCAGCGACTCAGGAGGCTAGGTAGGAGAATTACAAGTTCCAGGCCTGCCTCAGCAACTTAGTGAGGCCCTAAGCAACATAGTGAGACCCTGTCTCTAACAAATGAAAAGATCTCGGGATGTGGCTCAGTGAAAAAGTGTCCCTGAATTCATCCCTAGTACCAAAAAAAGAAAAAAAAAAAGATGTCTGACATGTGTTGAACAGATATTACTATTACTACTAGTAGTACCATATATGGTTAATATATAAAAAGCTCAGGTACAGTGGCACAAGCCTATAATCCCAGTGGCTCAGGAGGCTGAGGCAGGAGGATCATGAGGTCAAAGCCAGCCTCAGCAACCTAGCTAGGCCCTAAGCAACTTAGCAAGACCCTGTCTCAAAATAAAACATAAAAAGGGCTGGGGATATGGTTCAGTGGTTAAGCACCCTCGAGTTCAATCCCTGGTACCTAAATAAATAAATAACAAGAAAGGATGTGGCAAAATATGTACTAGCTTAAGAAAGTATCCATTTTATATTTATATGAATATACATGTATAATATAAAGCAAGTACAATATAAAATGGCAAGTTACAGAAGAACATGTATAATATAATTATATTTATGAATTTTGGAATGGTAGCTTTTGTTTCCTAGTTTATAGTGAGCATATGTAAAAAAAAATATATAGTTTCACTTTGAAAAAAATGACATTTTGTTGATATTGTTATACTGTGCTTTAAATGTTTAGGAAACAAACCTTCAGAAGAATGAAAGAATCTTTTAAAATTATATATCATATGGAGTTCCATTGTATAAATTTTATATGATGATAGTATTTTCAAGATAATGTGGTATAAATTTAAAATAAATTGAGAGCTCATTTGTTCTATATATGGCTTGCTTTTAAACAAAATTAAATTATGATTTTAAATGCTTTCCCCAAATAGAATTTGTTCTCTTTTGCCTAACCAAATGATGGATATAATTGCTACTTATATTCAAAACAGACATATAAAACTATATTATTTATAAAGTTTGGCAAATTTATCACTGATTATTTTTTCCTTGAATCAGTTATATTACTACTTCTTTATGTCACTTAGTTTTGTATCACATTTCACATTGTAAAGAGAAAATACTTTGGCATACCATATCTGATTATATTTCTTTTTATTTTTTTAAATTTTTTTATTAGTTGCTCAAGACAATACAATGATCTTGACATATCATATATTTGATTCAATACAAAATTACATATCTGATTATATTTCTAATTGAAGATTTTTGTTTGTTTTAAATTTTTTGCAGTATCGACTGTTATACCTAGGGTTTCCCGTATGCTAGGCAAGTGTTCTACCATTGAACTACATCCCCATTGCTTTAAATTAATTGACTAATTAAGACAGATCCTTGCTGAGTTGCCCAGGCTGGCCTTGAACTTTTAGTCCTTCTGCTTAGTCTTCCTAGTGCCTGTGATTACATGTATGTGCCACCATGCCAAGCAAATTGACTGAAGTTTTCATCTGTAGGGTAAACTAATCAATCTCTTGCTGTTTCTTTATCTTGGATAACTTTTGCAAAGAGAAGAGAATTGGTTTCTTTTTTTTTTTTTTTTAATTTATTTATTTATTTATTTTTAGTTATCGGCGGGCACAACATCTTTGTTTGTATGTGGTGCTGAGGATCGAACCCGGGCCGCACGCATGCCAGGCGAGCGCGCTACCGCTTGAGCCACATCCCCAGCCCCGGTTTCTTTTCTTTAACTGTGTATGTGATGATGATTCACACCCTACATGAGTGTTAGGGGGATTGCAAACAGAGGTTCAGACAGTTTCTTCATTGTTAGCTAATATTATCTGTCTTCAGATTCTTTCAGGTTTCTAGAAATAGGTTTTGAAACTCTGTTGAAGGGAATCCATGAAAGGGATAGTTATGTGAGAAAGATTTTATAAAACTGTGTTTTTTGTTTTTTGTTTTTTTGGCAATCTAGTTAGTATTAAGAGAGTGGGGAAAGAAAATGGCCAAATAAAAGTCAAATGCTAAATAAATCCTTAATACAAATGTTTGTGACCATTTTATCAGTTAAAGTTTGTAGTCAGTTTGTTATTCCTTTGATAGAACACATCTGTTTCCTTATGGAAGTATTGAGAACTAATCACAAGACATTTTGATATTGTAAAAGCAAAGTCATATGTTTTCTTTTTCTGGCTGGGTACAGTGGTGCACACCTATAATCCCAGCTACTCTGGAGGCTGAGGCAAGAGGACTGCAAGTTCAAGACAAGCTCAGACAATGAGGCAAGACTGTCTCAAAATAAAAAATTTAGAGTTGGGGTGTAGCTCAGTGGTAGAATACTTGCACAGCATGTTATAGGCCCTGTATTTTTCCCCAGCATTGAAAAAAAGTTTCTTTTTTTCTGTTTCAACATCTTGATTTTTAAATCTTGATCTTAGGCCAAAAAAATATGGTTTTATTAAATGCAGTTTTAATTCAGTGGAAGTATGTTTCACAATATAAAGTAAAACTCTTATTTTCAGGAGATTAAATCTAGCTTATTATTAGTGTTTAAATCATTCTTTTTACTGGGGATTGAACTCGGGGGCACTCAACCACTAAGCCACATCCCCAGCCCTATTTTGTATTTAATTTAGAGACAGAGTCTCACTGACTTGCTTAACAACTTGCTTTTGCTGTGGCTGGCTTTGACTCGTGATCCTCCTGCCTTAACAGGAGCTGAGCCCAAGTCGCTGGGATTATTGTGTGTGCCACCATGTCTGGGTCTTTTTTTTCTTTTTTTTTGAGCTACATCCTTAGCCCCTAAACCATTAATCTTGAAAACTATTTTCTTTACAAAAAAGAATGCATCAAATTAAGTTTGAAAAGAAAATAAATCAGAATGTTTAAGTGACACCTTATATCATAATTCCTTTATAAAGGTCATGTATTGAGAAAAAAAGATGTTATAAAGAAAGGTTTGATTGGAGAAGGAAAATATGTATTATGAAAAAAAGTATTTTTGTAAAATTTTGACTATTTTTATAGGATTGACTGCTGATGCTAGAGTAGTAATAAACAGAGCCCGGGTGGAGTGCCAGAGCCATAAGCTTACAGTTGAAGACCCAGTCACTGTAGAATATATAACTCGCTTCATAGCAACTTTAAAGCAGGTAAGCTAATATTCTATTAGGTTTCTTCAAATCAGTTAAAATATCTAATCTAGTAATAATCCATTATTTTAGGTTCTGTCATAGAAACAGTACGGCTACCCCAAGCATTTGATCTATTAATCTACTAGATACTTTATTCTTTCTCACAATTACTTCACAGTCACACTCTTATTCAGATAAAAATGCATTGACTTAATCACTAGATATCCCAGTCAATTTCAATTCTGGAAATTATATAAAACTTAAAAGAGCATAAATCTATAATCTTTTAAGGCAATTTCTACACTTCTGGAGATACAGATACTAGCATTCTTTAATTTTTTTTCCAAAGAAATGCCCATTTTTTTCACCTATGAATCTAAACACAGCTGATCAAGTTTAGATATGACTTCTTCTGGAACCCATGCATAGATACGTGGTTTAATGATAAATGTAATCATGATGTATACAAGTATTATTTTTCTCTTGTTTTATGTGTATTTTGTATATGGCAGCAGAGGCTGTGCATAGAATTTTTATGAAAAGAATTGTAAATTTGTAACAGTGGGATTGGGACTGGTAAGGTCTGGGGCAGAAGATAGATCTCATGAGCACCTTTTGTACTTTTATATTATTTTAACCCTGTGCATATATAATTTTCTTATTTAAAAAAATTGATGAAGGGGATATAGCTCAGTTGGTAGAGTGCTTGTCCCACATGCACAAGGCCCTGGGTTCAATCCCCAGGACCACAAAAAAAAAAAAAAAGTTGATTAAGCAAAAAAAAAAGTAAAAAGTCTTCTCCTCTAAGGTATATTTACAGAGCAACTACTTCATGCCTAGAGGTACACTAGGCACATTAGGAAGTACAGAGGAATTAACACATAAACTTTATTTTCAAAGAGGTTCATAGTTTAACTATTAACATTGAATTCTGAAGTGGCTTTTTAAAAATTCATATAATAAAATTGAAAAGTAAGAAAATAAATACAAAGCCGGATGCCATGGCACATGCCTATAATCCCAGCAGCTTGGGTGGCTGAGACAGGAGGATTACAAGTTCAAAGCTAACCTCAGCAAAGGTGTTGTGCTAAGCAACTCAGTGAGACCCTGTCTCCAAAATACAAAATAGGGTTGGGGATGTGGCTCAGTGGTTGAGTCCCCCTGAATTCAGTCCCAAGTACCTCCCCCTGCAAAAAAAAGGAAAATAGACACAATATATAGACAAGACCAGGAAGAAAGCTACTATTAAACTGTTTCAAACCACATAATTAAACACAGACACAGAATTTTATACAGTTATATAAAGTTGCCCAAATTTTTAGTCCTTAGCTTTCTATCATGGCTGCTTTTTTGTATGACATGTAGGAGCACCAGTCTCAGTGTGAATTCCATCCTTGGAGCACAAATCCAGGAAGTTCCCTGGCACTGAAGTAATAAGAAATATAATTGGTTCCCAGTGCCACTTTGTCTGTGAGAGAAAAAAAAACAACATGCTTTTTATTCAAGAGAAACAAAGGGTCCCTTGTCTTGGGACTGAAAGAAATATCTCACTTGGGTTTTTAAGTAAAGATAACTAGTATAAGTGAACAGAATATATTTGTTAATAATAGTATCAAGTAAGGATACTGGATAATAATAGTAGCAATTATAGTGTTCCTCAAGGTAAACCAAGGATGTGCTTCAAAAGTATACAACTCATTGAAGTCAGTTTTGCTGAGAACCAAGATGGGTATGGCATGAACACTGTTCTCTACTATTAAAGAGGTTACAGTCTAGTTTGTTACCAAAATGTACACAACACAATAGGAAAACATTTTGAGAAAATATAAGTCCTGAGAACCTCCCCGTGCAAAAAAAAAAAAAAAACCCGAAAGGAAAATAGAAACAATAAATAGACAAGACCAGGAAGAAAGCTACTATTAAGCTGTTTCAAGCCACATAATTAAACACAGACACAGAATTTTATACAGTTATATAGAGTTGGTTTTATTTTACAGATTGTATACATTAATTTCTTTCAAAATTTGTTATGAATTGAGATTAGTCCAGAAAGAATTCTAAAAATGTGTAGCATAAGAATTAGGAAAGGAGATCATTTTGATAGCAATTCTCTATTAATTATTAGAATTTGTATGTAATAATTAAAATAGTGTTATTCTAAAAATAAATTTTATTTTTCAGAAATATACCCAGAGCAATGGACGAAGACCTTTCGGAATCTCTGCCTTAATTGTAGGTTTTGATGATGATGGTATCCCAAGATTATATCAGACAGATCCCTCTGGTACTTACCATGCATGGAAAGTGAGTCTTCAATTTGTTAATATTTTTTGAGAAATTGAATAAATGTTTTCACTTTTAAATGCTTAATAGCAGGCGGGGGTTGTGGCTCAGTGGTAGAGCACTTGCCTAGCATGTGTGAGGCACTAGGTTCGATTCTCAGCACCACATGAAAATAAATAAAGGGCCACCAAGAACTAATAAAATATCTTTTAAAAATAAATAAATAAATAAATGCTTAATAGCTTTCAGGGACATGACAAAATTATGTTGCATTAAAATGTTTGCACTGGCCAGAGATATGAAAAATTGTGCTCTATATGTGTAATGTAAATTTAATGAATCTTGTCATATATAACAAATTAAAATTATAAAACAAATGTTTGTACTGTCAAAACCTTTATAAATATAGTCAGCTGGTCTGAAATTATAATTTTTGGATAACAAAATGCCTTGGTGTTTATTAACGGATCCTTTTCCTTACTTTTGAAAAGATGTGACAGACCTGACAAACCTAAATGGCCAAATAAGAGAAATACTGTCTAGTTTGTATTGAGCATTCATTTTTTCTCCAAATTAGTATTGCTTCATATAGATGCTTGTTTTGAGTAAAATAGTGTTTTTGCTTTTAGTGAAGAACTAGATGGGCGCTTAAACTCCATACTGAAATGCTTAATGTGTTCTCTATTCTAGGTCAGTCAGAGCACCCTAAACTGTGATATGTACTTATTTGTTAGTATACAGCAATGATCTCTACATAATTTGTGGAATATAATTTGTTTCTTGGATAAATTGTTATTCTTGTATTTGTACCGAACTGCTTTGTTTTATGATACACTCAAATCCAATACAAAAGCCCAGAAAAACTAGTAGCAGTTTCTAGAAATGAATTTTTATATATTCTCATAGAATAAGATGACAGTTCAGAAATGTGACTTTATCAAAAGTTTAAGTACATAGGTTTTAAATAATTTCCTGCTGAATTTAGTTTACTATTGCCAAATAAATTAAGTGGGAAATATTGCTATGGTCTTTATGCATGTATTAAGAAATTGTTTTTCTCTGACCATATGTGTAAGATACTGTTTTATAAACCAGTTAACCAGCTGGGTACAGTGACACACACCTGTAATTCCAGAGGCTCAGATGGCTACTACAGGAATATTCCAAGTTTGCGGCCACACTTAGCAACTTAATGAATCCCTAAGCAATTTAGAGATACCCCATCTCAGAATAAAAATGGCTGAGGATGTAGCTCTGATTTCAATCCTCAGTACCACAAAAATAAATCCATTTAACCAGATCACTAAAACAGTGGATTGTAATCTTCCAACAAATACCAGAATACCTGTGCCAGATGCAATCTTTTAATTTGCTTGTGTAATCTAATTGGTAATCAGAAGGTATGGATTTACCTGCTGCAAATATCAGAACTTTTTAACATCTACTAGGTTTCTGTGCCTTCCAAATCAGTGACCTAAACAAAAGAAGTTATTATATTCCCATCTTTAAATAATTTAAAGCCTGCCATCTTCTGTTTGCATTTATCATTACATTTACTATTTATTTCAATATTATAACAGCAATTTCCAAGTCTACATGAAGTTTTCATTTTAAATTGCTTTCTGGGGACTTACAAAGAAGTATTTTAATTTTCTCTTGGGAAAATTATGGAATTCTTTTTATTATTTATTTTTAGTTGTAGTTGGACACAATACTTTTATTTATTTATATGTGGTGCTGAGGCTCAAACTCAGGGCCTCGCACGTTCTAGGCAAGTGCTGTACCGCTGAGCCACAACCCCAGCCCTGGAATTCTTATAATCATTGTACATTTTATTGATCATTTCATTGATCTGAACTGTGCTCTGCTGTGGTGTCTTCCGGCCACATGATAGAGTTAAGAACATGTGAACAGTTGTGAATATGCACACACATGTGCCTCACTATTGTTATTTTACTCACTTCTTATATTCTTACACTATGGTTTTTTATAAGGCTTTGGTTGAAGTAAGTATTATGCAACTTAAAAAACTCATCTATAACAAAACATTTGAAAATTTTTTTATTTTATGAATTTGGTAATTGAGATTCAGGGATTAAGAGATTGATTTAGGTTCACATCCCTACTTAATAGCAACATTAAAATTAAAACTCAGTAAATACTGAAGCAATATTGGAATAAACATTTAATTCTTTCCACTATAACATGTAACCGCCCTTAGCCAGTTGACACTCTGTACACATTATATAAATTCTGATATCCATTTTTGAAAGATAGAATAAAAACTGATTTGATTTCTACTTCTGAGGGAGTATAGCGTTTTATCTAAGATCAGGTTTTTTGGTTTGTTTTGTTTTTCTGTGTTCCATTTGTTTGTTTTTATGATGACATATTATTTCAGGTAGCGTAACAAAATGGTGCAGTGGACTATTGGGAGCAGCCATGGCACTGACTGGCATTACAACACTTTGCAGTGCTAGATTTTAGTCTTACAAGGTACAGAAAGAAGAACATGTAGAATAGGTAATAGAAATGGGAAGTTATTGGGGCTTGGATCGTGGCTCAGTGGTAGAATGCTTGCCTGGCATTTGTGAGGCCCTGGGTTCGAATCTCAGCACCACGTATAAATAAAATAAAGGCCCATCAACAACTAAAAAATATTGAAAAAAAAAAAAAAAGAAATGGGAAGTTATAAAAATAAACTGGCTTCATGACCTGTATAGAAATGAGAATAGAAGTAGCTGATGCCAATACTTTAGTTTGTTGTGGGCTCATTACCTGGCACATGACACAGCTTTCCTTCCTTCCTTCCTTGTTACTGGGGGTCGAACCCAGGAAACCCTACCTTTTTTTTTTCTTTCTTTTTTGAGACAGGGTCTCATTAAGTTGCTGGGACTAGCATCGGAACTTTTGATCCTACCTAAGGCTCCTGAATGGCTCAGATTATAGGTATGCACCATTGAACCCAGCTCACAACTTTTAATTCTGAAGGTTCTGGTCCATTAGTGATCTTGCCTTAGTGGGTTATAGAGCCTTCCATTAACTTTTTCACTTTATGGGGAAGTGCTAAGAGAAACCTTCAGAAAATCTCTTAGAGTTCTAATATCTTCTCCCTGGTCCCACTGTATAGTAGTCATTTTTAATTTTAATAATCAGAATAAATCATAGTATCTGTTATGGTTTAGATTTAGGTGTCCTCCAAAAGCTCATGTATGAGACAATGCAAGAAAGCTTTGAGGTGAAATGATTGGTTATGAAAGCCTTAACCTAATCAGTGCATTAATCCTGTGATAGGGATCAACTGGGTGGTAACTGTAGGCAGGTAGGGTGTGTCTGGAGGATATTAGTCATTGGGGCCCTACCTTTGGGATATATATTTTGTTCATGTAGAGGGGAGTTTCTATCTCTCTGCTTCCTAACTGTCATTTCCTGAGCTGTTTCCTCTACCACTCTTCCACTATGATATTTTGCCTCACTTTGGACCCAGAGCAACAGAGTTAGTTGGTCATCTGTAGATTGAGACCTCTGAAACCATGAGCCCGCAAATAAACTTTTCCTCTTCTAATTGTTTTTGTCAGGTCTTTTGGTTACAGCAGCAAAAAAAAAAAAAAAGCTAACTAAAACAGCATCCTTACAATGATAATAACTCCTTCTATAGGTTCATATAGAGCAGAATCCTAGCCTTGACAGATGTTGTCATATAACTGCTACTGTAACTGAGTCTTCACATTTCTATCTGACTGGCTCCTTCAAGGTGATAAAAAATATAATAAGAACCAGTGAATGCCCTGAGCATATGTCAGTTTCCCTGCTTCTTCACAGTTAATTCATTGCTTAGAAGCAATATTTTGTAGGATACCATGATGTATAATACTGAAAAGCATTCAGTAAATGTACATTTGGCATATGTAAGGGTAAACTGTAAGTTCCTCTTCCAGTGAGATAATGCTGCTACTCCTTCCATGATGGAAGAGTTCAGCAAAATCAGTTAGTCATGTTGGCAAGTCAACTTTAAATTTTTGTTTCTTGAACCCAGGGCCTCCCATGTGCTAGGTAAGCACTCTGCCAGTGAGCTGCATTCTAGGCCTCCTAATTTTTTTTTAAAAAATGACAAATGAAAATTTTATGTATTGGTGAAAATGTAATGTTTTGATAACACACCTATCACCATACCTAGAATCTATTCTCTATAAGCAATTTTTAAGTCCCCAGTATATTATTATTAACTATAACCACCATGCTATACAGTAGATATCCAGAACTTATTTATCCTGACTAAAAGTTTGTACTCTTCAACTAGAAAGTTCCAATTTCCTTCCCTCCACCAGCTTCTAGTAACTACTATTCTATTGTTTCTATGAGTTTGATTATTTTAGATTCAATGTAAGTGAGGTCATTGACTATTTGTGTTTTGGGACTTAGAAGAAACTTCTTTAAAATTGTTGTAACAGGTTCCTGGATTTGTCAAATTAAAAACCATCCTTTTATAAAAACCTCCAATGCTAGAATAGAATAGTCATTATATTATGAGGTTTGTTGTTGTTGTTTTTGATAGTGCAAATGAACCCAGAGGCATTTTACCACTGAGATACATGTCCAGCCCTTTTTATTTTTATCTTGAGATAGGGTCTCTCTAAGTTACTCGGGGCTTTGCTAAATTACTGAGGCTGGTCTTGAACTTGTGATCCACCTGTCTCAGTCTCCCGAGTCATTGAGATTTTAGGCATGTACCACCATGCATGGCTTTCATTATAAGTTTTTAAATGTACATTTGAACTCAAAAGGAAGAAAATTCTAAAGTGGCAACTCTCAAAATTCCATCTGCAAATCCCTGGTCCATAAGGTGAAAAAAAAAAAAAATCATTTTCAGAGACCTCACTAGATTAATGCTTACTTCATCTGCAGCACAGCACCCTCTGCTGATTCTTTCCTGGGCAACAAGAGCTGGTGGTCAGAAATTCATCATGTCTATTTCAAAAATCCATCCCAGGGAGATCTTTAACTCTTATGAAAATCCCACG